AAAAAAAAAAAAAAAAACCCAGGTTTAAAAAACCCCTTCCCCCCCCCCCCCCCGGAGAGCGTCATGCACCCCCCTGAGTGGGATTTTAAAACTGGAACTGTGTAGAGGCTCCAGGCAGCTGGTCTCTTATTCCAGACTAAGGGAATCACTCTCTCTCCCCTGTGTGTGTGTGTTTTAATTATAAATGCCTTAATGGCGCAGTGCTGCATGGCGAATGCAAGCAGCTTAGGGATGTGCATCTCCATAACCGCTCGATGCACTGCCAACAATCCCATACATTAAAGATGCACATGAAGCGCCTACTATTGTGATATATAATTCACCCCTATTGCGATGCAGTGCGATTTGACATGATACGCTGCACTGTTGGGCACCCCTGCACCTCGAGATAAACATGGTGACAGACTTGCGGTGAACTGGCCACTTGCAGCAGTGGAGAACTAGAGATGAGAGAGCGTACCTGAGAAATGGTTTAGAGAGAGAATGAATCTAAATATAAAATTATTGGTCAAATTATTGGGCACATTTCTAAATAATGAAGGCCTAAGAGTTCTGCTCATGAATATTTTATTTACTCCCTTTTATTCTCCTGAATAAAATGATGATCCCTAGAGCAGCTGCTTGAGGCTGAGGGATGAGGGCTGGCTTCTATCAGCGTGGGTAGCAGCCCTATGATGTTTTGCAGCATGACTACGACATGCGGGTCGACGACTTCCTGAGACGCACCCAAGCAGTGGTTAGCGGCAGGCGCAGCCGCCCTCGAGAGCGGGACCGGCAGCGGGAGAGGGACCGGCCAAGGGACGCACGGCGTGACCGGGAGCGGGAGCGAGGACGGGAGCGCGAGCGGGAGCGGGACAGGATGAGGGAGCGCGAGCGGGAGAAAGAGCGAGGCCGCTACCGCAGATAGGCGGCACGCTTGTCCTCGCTGCCCTGTATCTTCTCTACAGATTGTGCTGTTTTTATTTCTTATCGCTTGTTGTCCTTTGGGAACCTGAAGACTGTGTATCATGCATGCAGTGTAACAAAATGATTAAAGCCAACCAAAAAAGTGAAATAATGCTGGTTAGTTTCCGGGAGACACATTTGAAGAGACTTTTCATTTTGTAATCCTGTTACTTGCTTTTTGGGACCCAGTTTTGTAATTGTCCCCAAAAGGCCTGGTCATCCCCCAGTGTCTGTGTTTGTACCTGCACATGGTTCAGTGAAGACGTCACTACCAAAGTTGGTCTGTCTGCACTGAAGGTTACTGTCTTGTACCCAGTATGTTTTTATTAACACTTTTAAGTTTCAAGCCATGTATTTTTCTAGCATTTGAGTGACAAGCAATATTGACAAGTCCCTCAGTCCACCCCGTGAACCCAAACTAAGGCTCGATCAGTGCTGTATAGCTTCATGTTTTGAATATCTGTAAAATGACTTTGAATTGTAAACAGGATGTTTGTGGTTCAGAAAAAGCTAGTATCTTTTAGTGATACCTTTTTGTACAAAATGGAAACCATTAAACAAAAATCAATATATATGTGTCGTGATCCTTTCTGCTTGGGGTGGTGGGGGAGTACTCCCAGAGAACTCATCTGTAGCTGTACTATGTGTACAAATGTGTTGGGTGGTAGACTAACATGGAATGCATCCTTTCTGTTGGACCCTGTGAAGCAGGGGTTCACGACCACTGGTATTGGTGCATGGTCACTATTCCATTGAGTCACAGAAGCTGGGTTTTGTGGAGGGTTTGGTTGACTTTGGCAGACGAACGATATTTCAATTTTTCACAATCCCTCACATTCACACATTCTGCATGCATCTAAAAGAAAAATGGAGACTGTTACACCCCCGACTGTTTTACCGACGTGAACTGGCCTGCGGATATCAGAAGCTCAGGAACCCCTACTGTAAAGAAAACAAAACGAGCTCTGCTGGCAGTCGAGGTGTCAGTGAATGCATTCTTTAAAGCACCAATAATTCCCAACATGAAGTATAGATAGGCAGTGTATTACTGCAGACAGGACAGAACCAAAATAAGAGAAGTCAGCATCCTGTTACATGATACGGTAATATGCCATCTGGCTAGCTTAGTTCAGCTGTCAATTAAATATAAATGGAAGAGTTCATTTTCTATGGCTGAGCATGAGGAAACTGGACAGCAGTAGTTTCGATATGAAATCAGATCCTGGAGCAGGATAGGCTGCACATTGTGTCTGACTTTATCCAAGAGGATCGCATCTGGAAACAAAACCTGCCGGTTTCCATGTTGCTTTTACAATCACTGGCATGGTTACACATCACTTTAATATGCACACACACCTAATGGTTGGAATACGTTTTAATGTTTTGCGCTTTACAAAAGGACATAGATGCAAATAACTACAAAACAAATCTATGACACTCCTTTCTTTAGTGGTGGTAGTCTGAGGAAAAACAGCTTTTAGAATGACTTGGTCAGAGGAGTGAAAGCATTTCATACTGTGAGTAACGTGCCAGGCAGGGGTGGACTGGGGAGGGGGGGGTTCCCGTGGTATATTTTGCCAATCGTGATCAACCAGGGGCCACCAATGAAATAAAGTATTATTCATTAATCATCTCCTGCCATTGACCCGCAAACACACATTGATCAGCCGACGGGTTGGGCTCCCGTGCTAGGCTATAGAGAGAATATAATGCTGGGCCCTCAAGACCAGCCCACTGGGAAAATTCCCCACCTTCCAAACAGCCAGTCCACCCCAGATGCCAGGTAACTGACCATTTGACAAAATGCACTAAACATTTTCCGGTCACAGTCCATCCAATTTTGGGGCAAAAAACAGCATTACAATTTAAATAAAGTAATGACATTATGAGAAACCAATCTAAAAGCACTAATTTTATTGCTATAAAATTCACATTACTGTTTTAAAAATTACAATATAGCAATAAAAATAGGCACTAGAAATTTTATAGCATGCGTTAAAACAAAAATGGAGGGTACAGAATGCATTCATTTACTGACAATAGGCAGAAGGTCTCCATTAGCCTTCATAGCTTTAATCTTAGCTTTTATGTTGTCGTCCATGGCCTGTCGACACCGTATGGCGTAATGAGCCAGTGTCTCCTCCTTTTCGTCCCAGGGGGCCAGAGAGTGGAAGACCTCTGGCGCGGCCAAGCTGAGCTCGGCAATGGCGGCAGTTCTGGAGATGGTATTACGATCCACGCCGACCCTGTCGAAGGCTACCCTCATGGAAACGCTGCGTCGGAACTCCTGAAGAGCGGTCATGTACCTCGCGATGACACCCACTACGTTCTTCACTGCAGAAAGAGCAGTAGTATAGCTGAATGCCACCTTTGATTAGGTAGTTAGCTCACCAAATGCATCATTTCCAGGGCAAGTCATGCTTCACTTCCCTGTTAATTCACAGTTAATCCAACATTTTAAATAAAATGCACACACAGTCAACAATTGTGGAACTGGAAAAAATATTTTGAACCTTAACAAGGATCATTTTCCCTGTGGTGTACCAAAACCCTGAGAAAGATTTTTGTTAATGAGTTTCTTGTGGTAATTCATTCCACAAATGAATATTAAGAATAACTTTACAGCTAAAACGCTTTCAGGATGCAGTTTGCACATCTACTTGGAAGACACTCCTCCAGCAACAATCACTTATGACTACGTGGTCTATGTCCTAAATAGGGCTGTCACTCTTTAACCATATTCGAACATTCGTTTGAACGTGATGGGAATGATTCATATTCAAGCTATAACCAACCCATTCCAATTTGAAAGTGTCACTGTAGCCTATTAGAGAGTTTGCTGTAATTTTGTCGTTTGCCGTCTACAGAGGCCCTAAAATGTCAGAGCGGGAATATGTTTTTTGAAATACTTTTGCATTCCCTCGCAGTATTTCTGCAATCCCACTACATTTTCCCACTTGCTATCTGCTGCAACCTGACGGCATGGATAAACCAAAATAATAGACGTCATGTACACCATGAAACTTTAATATTAATATATTTTTATATGTATTTACTAATAATTGCAGTGTCTATTCACTGCTAGTGACTTTAAGCTAGGCTACTGAGGCTATTGAACGTGAAGTGCACACACAAACTTTGAAATATATTACAAATAATGAAAGATATCAAAGCTGGAAAACTGCACATACAGTACATTTAGCTTTATATACTTATAAGTCTATTAATTGTTTGTTTTGTACTTTAAACAGACACAGTACAGTTATTATTAGCAACGCAAAAATATTTTAAAAAATATCTTCCCCACCCTCACCTTTTAGGGGCTCCATACTAATGTGATGTTGTATGGGTTATTAATACAGAAAAGATGATTCTGTGTTGTTTTTTATGGGGGGGTGTCACAGGGTTTCAAATATACTCGAACGAATTGCATGACACTTGAAATTTGTTCGATATCGATTTTTGTAAAAAAAGTGTCAGCCTTAGTCCTTACCCACTACAGTATTCAGGGACTTACTTCGAACACGAGTATTTTCCCCTTCCCTACTTCTCTTTGAGCTCTTGATGGTCTTCTGTCGTTCGCCGGCACGTATGTCCATCTCATCGAAGGAATCGAAAAGCACGGGCGACTCGAACGACACGGCCTCGTCGGGGAAGACGCCGCTGTGCTGGCTGGAGCCGCTGGGCTCCGGCTGGCTCGGAACGTGAGGCCTCCGCTTTTCTGACGAGCACAACAAACGGCACCTTCAAGCGGCTCGTTGGATGCAATATACCAGCTTTCAGCAGCAAAGCCCAACGAACCATGGTGGGGTTGGCCAGGTTAAAAAAAAAAAATCCCTTTTGGAGACATTCTTTAGCTAAAAAATATTTGGCTAAACACAGAAAGCCAGTGTAACTGGGGAACCATGCCATTCCATCAGCATTAATAATACAGTAATCAATGATTCAGTAATCAACAGCCCAATGGCGGCCCCTGTGCCCCTTGGATGTGCAGTCCTGAGTTACCCGAGTGGATTCTCACTTCCAGGGACATTAGGACAGGTGCTCTGTCATCAAACGTTTCGCCCCTGCAGCACTCTGGTCAGACAATGTACTGCATTCTTATACCTGTGGGCCAACAACAAACTGACAGCTGTACAAAACAAATACGTCAGTCTGCAGGGCATCCCTGTCAGTACCACTGCGGTGCTGTGGCATGCTTAGGGGACATATGGCTGTGGACAGTCACTTCAAGGTACGGCCCCAGCACCGATCATTCCTTTCTGGGTTAGGGTGCTGCTGAGTTTCAAACAGGAATCCACTACCCACCTCCTTATTCATGTGAGATAGCTATACCTTTGTTTTGTTTTTTTTAGCTATTTTATAAGTGCCATTACTGCACACAGGCAGATACACAGTCCTTAGGACAGTAGTGTTAAATGTGATAAGGCTGCGTCTGACCTACCTGGACGGTGACTCAGCTGGTCTTGGAGGAAGTCACAGATTAACTCTGCCTTTTTGGTCAATTCCTGCTGGAGCAGCGTTTTGTCCTGTTTAAGACCTTTTATGGTCTCTTCCATCAGTTCACTTTTCTTTTTTTCTGCCTGTAACATAACTTTGAGTTTCTCTATTTCAAACAGAGTAGGAGAACCTGTTGGAGCAAATATATTTTTACATCATGAAAGTCTGCTATTCTAAACAAACACGTTGACAGCAGTACCATTTACTTTTAACACAAAAGTTAAATTTCCCTAAACTGGCATTTCCAAGCCTGGCGCTCAGGGACCTCCAGATAGCCACGTTTTTGCTCCCTCCCAGGAGCAAAATTGTGAACTTTCTGTAGGTTCCTGTGGACCAGATTGAGAAATTCTGATACCACAAGTCATGAAATCATATCACTCAAATACACCCATCGTGGTTTCACATCACAATCTTATGTATTTTTTCAGATTTATTTTACTCAAATACTTGATTTGCATATAAAAAGCAGGTTCCAAATATTTAATAAATTAGGGGAAACCTATTTTATGAGCAAAAAATACATATTTTCTTTAAAAAAAAATCTTCAGTATAATAACCTTGTATGAAAGGTTTGTGAAACTTGTACCTAATTAATAAAAATTAAGATGAATTAATACCCTGATAAGCCAATCAATCAAAGCTATTTTTTTTCCAATGGTTAGTTACTGCATTAGTCAACTACGCTAAACACTGAACCTGTGGGAAAAAGAACTTGTGACTGTCCACCTGAATGTGTAGTATGTTGGTAAACGATGAACCAAGCAGTTAAATGATCGTATTTTCTACAAAACTGAATATAGCTGAGCCAAGACATTTTGCTATGATATAAAAAATAAAAAAACTGATTTCAGTCATAGATCAGTTTTAATAAAACATGAAGTTGGGCGTTTTGCTTTTGCACAGCAGAACAGTGCAGTTACACCACAAGAGCGGTGTTTACCGGAAGTTTCTGCGCTGGGCTCCACGCTCACGTCCAGCTCCGGGTTGGAAATGGCCGAGGAGGGCTCAGCATCTCCATATGACAGGGATGCCCCATCGCACTTCATCAGATCCTCACTGGACACAGTCTCCATCAGCTCTCCGTGACCGTCCAGCTGCATGGCCGGGAGGGGACTGCGTGCCGCCTCACTGCATCCCGAACTGGGGCCTGGGTCCAGCCTCTGGAGAGCATCCACCGGGCTAGGAGGTGCCACGTTCCCCAGCAACCTACTTTGTCCGCACGGGGCCAGCCCGCAAAGGGCTTTGGCTGCAGCCGTAGGGAGTGGCGAATGTGAAGGGGACTCTGCGTTCAGATCGGTGACAGGGGGTTTGTGACCGCCCATGTGCAGAAGGGACGTCCTGCCTGGTGGATGGGGCAGGGCAACCTGTCGACCCAACCGGGACACAGAAAGCGACGAAGGGCCGCTGTCACAAGACCCAGTCAGCTGGGCACCCAGCACAGTGTAATAGTCCTCAGGCATCTCTTGCTTAATTTTTTTCACCCCCGAATCCCAGAGTCCCTCCTCTGACCTCTGGAAGCCTGCCTGCCCCTGTGATAGCTTACAGCTTCCCCTCTTTCTGGCCATATAGTGCAGCTGACGCTCATAATCGCCATCTTCATCCGTCGCCGAGGACTCGCAGGCCGCGTCCAGGAGCGTGCTGCTGTACTCCTCCGCGTTGTCGTCCATCTCCGACGGGTCGCTGCAGTTCGAAATGTCACAGGATTCGCTCACTTGCACACAGTGAGTTTCCACTTTGGAGGCCCTACCCAAAATCCTGTCACCGGAGCCAGGCGGCATACCAGATACACCCCCGTGGTGGCCGTCCTGCTCGGAAACCAACTCCTTTGGCCTGGAGCCACAAGCAGCCGTCAAAGCCCAGTGGTAGGCGTGCCCTGCGCTGCACCCCCACATGGCTGTAAGGTGGCCATGGGACCCCCCACTCAGCAAGTGCTTTAGCCCAGGAATGACAGTGCAGATGGTACCGTGACTGTGCGCCCAGCTCACCAGTTTGGATAAATCTTCAGCAGAAGTTTGCAAGTAGTCATCCATGGTGGTCTCAGCTCCCTGAAACAGGAGTTTATCACTGAACACTTTTAAGTTCATGCACATCAGTTCTCCACAGCATGTCACTATTGTATCATCGAAATGCATGCTGCAATATCCTAATGATTCGATGCTTAACACTAGATGGCGCTGCTTAATATCATAATCACCATGTCTGTAACCTATAAGGCAATGTAGACAGTATAGTCCAGGGCTATTCAAATCAATGTCCTCAAGGGTCCAGCAGTGCTGATTTTCCAGACTTCCTTTACCTGTGAGCCAGGTGTGATGCTTCTGTGGCCAATCAGAATCAGTAATTCTTAAACCAGATACCTGGGTGAATTGAAATCATGGCTTGGATTGGGAATCGAGATCCAGATCTGAAGAGCCCCGGTATAGTCTGTACAGCCTCATGCACGATGGAGAAACAGGACGTTGGTCGATTGTGGCGCCGTTTACACTAATGTAAAGACACCAATTCACCTATGTCGTTCTTTTTATGTTTTGACTGTATGGAAACATATAAAACCATGCGAACTCTTACACACCTAGCGGCGGGAATGGAGCCGCAGCCCCGGAGACGTGAGGCTGAAGTACTAATCAATGAGTCACCAATCAAAGGAAAACTTGTGATGTCCTTTAACCGTTAAATAAAACGGTACCACTAGTCAAATCATTCAGGAGATCTCCGTCCTTTGGAAATGCACAATAAAAACTATATGCATACATTCAATTTAAATGAAGTAAAATTACGCGACGCATAATTCCCATAAATAAACCTATATTGAGGTCCCAGGATCAATAATGAAACTTATTGTTAAATCCGGCAGTGTTAATGCACGACGCAGAGCGACTAGCTGGTTACTATAACACGGCTGCAGACTGACAGGAAAAAGGGACGCTTCATTGATATCCGAAAAAATATATACCAAGGGGATAGTTATCAGCCCTCGGGGACCCTGCTAACCAAGCAGCCTTTTGATTACAAACAGGAAGCTCTCATTTTGACCGCATCCAGACGATTTACCCTTTACCTGCTTGGCTGTCTGCCTTTTCGCCATTCTTCAAATAAATAATTCCTCTTGTGCCCGCGACCACTTCCGCACAAACCGGAAATACGGGTATTCAAGGTACACAGAACCCCCCTCCCAGATTGATTTTTAATGGGTCTGTGCTAAGGATTAGGGATACAGCCTTCATCCGAGCAGCAGCCCTGGTGTTATTATCAGAACAAAGGTGTAGGGCTTTTATTTTGACAGTGACTATTGCGTCGCCTGAATATGACGCTGAACGGGAACGCCATAGGCATATTTATATCGGTGTGCAATGGAAAAATAACAGTATCTTGTACGAAATATATCATTACATCACATAGGTCAATGTTTACCAAAATCCCAGATGTTTTGCTGAAATAAAAAAACTATACATCAAGAAAAAAAAAACATTTGGAAAAAAGAGATGGATTTTAGCATATTTTTGTAATCTACATAATTTGCAGGTATCAACGTCGCTGCGTCTGCTCGGTGAAGCTGACCCCCTTCCCCACACAATCAGCACAAATAAAAGTCCATTGTGTTTGTTCACTGCTACGTGTGTTCGGTTTTGTGGGATTTGTGCTGCTTTCAATTTTTAATATCAATTATTTTTCTCCGGGCGAAAACGTCCCCCACCGCAACAATTTATGGACTTTGCATACGTAAAAACATGAAAAGTATCCCCTAGGATCGCTAAAGATTTGTTAAACAAAAGCCCCACCCACGATTTGTAAAACGTTAAACAGCAATTGTTACAAGGTGATAAATTAAGGACGTTTGTCTAACGTCTTTTTCCACAATGAATAATCTTATTTCGCGTTCTTTATATCTGCCGTAAATGTGTAATGTGTACCCGACTGGAACACCTTTGCACTCTTGAAAACCCACGTATATGGATATTTTTTGGGTACTCGATGGCTTCATTGATCATACGAGTCCAAGCACCACACCTGCTGTTTTTTTACTAAGTTACAGGTTCTAGTACAGTGATTTTCAACTAGTGTGCCGTGGGAAATTATTCAATTTCAAAAAAACTTTTTTGAAAATTAATTATTTGCAAATAATATGCCATTGTCGAGTGTCTGTGCCCTAATAGTGATGTATTCTGAACAAAGCTATTTCAACATTACTCCCATTTTTCAAGACATATCTGTGTGAGCTGAGCTTTTCTAGCCTGACTCATATAAAAACTTAAAACAGAGACTGAGAGCTGTTAAGGAAGAGTTTCGTGTGTCTGTCTTCAATTCCTGCCAGAATACCAGCTTTGTGTTCACCCAAACAGGCTCAGGTTTCACGCTGAGTGAGTATAAATAAATTGAGAGACTATTTTCTCATTACTAGGCTACAGAGTGTCATTTTGTAACATTTTTGGTTGGTGGTGTGCCGTGGGATTTTTTCAGTGTAAAAAATGTGCCGTGGCTCAAAAAAGGTTGAAATAGTCAGGCGAGAGGAGTACCTCAAAATATTCTTGCTCGCTGCTGTCATCTGTTTCATCCGATTCTTCCTGGTCAGGCTCTTGTTTTGTCTGCACATATTCCACACCAAGGTCCTGGCAGACATTATACCCATTTCTTTTCACTAATGTGTAAAGAGCCTTGGAGGATATAACACCATTCAGGTTTTGACTAAGTTCACTCCACACTTTGTCTGATGGCACAGTGATTCTGCCATCTTTCACTATTTCTGATCTTTTCTCTAAAATGATTTGAACAATCTTTTCCTTGGGAACTTTTGGTAGCCTCGGCATTTGTATAACGAGATAGAAAGTAGCGTCACAAACGGGTAGAAACGCGGCACTAAATAACCAGCCCAGTTTGTGTCCGTTCGCTGTTATGTGTGCATGTGTGTGGGTGGGGTTGCGTGACGTCATCGCCCAGAGAAAAATAATTGGTATTATCTTGAAAATGGAAGCAGCACAAATCTTATTTTTTGCGGCACAAAACAGCACAAACGTAGCACTAGCTTTACGATGGATTATTTATTTGTGCTGAAGGGCGGCACCTTCACGGAACATAGCTCACAGTCAGCTCTGTGTTTCAGTGAAGGACCCATTCCAGACGCTAGATGGCGCCATCAGATTTCCCAACAGCTAGGTTATAGTCGTTTCCCATCAGGCGCTGTTGGTCAAACTTCCGGAAAGCCGAGCGCAGGGAAAGTGGACGGGAGCGCGCCCGCGTCCTCGTAGCGCAGGTCATGTCTTGTTATTGAGGTGAAGGGTCAGTCTGTGAGCTGTAGCACTGTAGACTTGCATTTGGACTTTTCTGCTGCATGACAACTGACGCCACTTTTAATAAGATCTAAATATGTTGCCGAATACGGGGTAAGTCGGTGTTGTGTCATCTTCCTTCGTCTTAAAAAAAGTGGACAAAAAGTTATTTAGCTAATTATGTACACTTTTATCCGAGTAACGTGCACTGTAACATCTTCATCAACCTCTTTGTATAGTAAACCAGCGTCAAAAACTGTAGTGCCACTGTGTATTTTTATTTTACGCTAATCAGTACCTTTTCATTGGTTAACTTCTTACGGTTTTGCACTGTGTTTGTTTTCATGTGTGTTTCTATATGTGGAATAAATGCAGGTGATCTCAGCTGCATAGACAAACACAGCAGGGTCCCATTAGCTCGCACACAGAGTCTAACATTTAATGAATATAACTAAATTACGGGCTGAAGTGACTTCTCGTTTTGGTGCCTGCATTTCAGAAAGCTCGCAGGTCGCACCCTGTTCATTACCGGGGCCAGCCGTGGTATCGGGAAGGCCATCGCCTTGAAAGCTGCCCGAGATGGTGCCAACGTGGTGATCGCTGCCAAAACTGCCCAGCCGCATCCCAAACTTCCTGGGACCATCTACACTGCTGCAGAAGAAAGTCAGTCCTTTCATTCCTGGCTGCATGTGTTGGGCTGTTCAGGGGAGCGAGAGTACCATGTTTGACTCAAAAACATACCATTTTACAAAATCCCGTTTTCATTTACACAGACATGACATAAGTTTGAGAAGAAAGACGTAGTCATACTATGGCATATTTAATGAGAAACATATTGAATATTTTTGCAAATAGATTTGAAATGATTCAGGCTTAATCTGTGGTTGTGTTAATCAGAGTAACTCGCATTACAGTGGCTCCTGTACTCTCTCCTCTTTGCAGTTCAGGCAGCTGGTGGTAAAGCCTTACCCTGTGTTGTGGATATCCGGGATGAAAATCAGATCAGCAATGCAGTGGAGCAAGCAGTAAAGAAATTTGGAGGTGCACCGTGTTTGCGTTCAGAGTAGCCTAATTTACTCATGAGAAGTTAGAGCTTATTAAATTGGCAGCATTGTTCATAACATTTTTTTCCTCTGCTTTTTGTGTTTGTTTTTCCAAGGTATTGACATCTTGATAAACAATGCAAGCGCCATAAATTTAACTGGCACTGTGGAGACACCAATGAAGAAAGTGGACCTGATGCTGGGCATCAACCTGAGAGGAACTTACCTGACGTGGGTGAAACACCTACTGAACATAGATCCTCTCAACTCACTGTTCATTTTAATCTCTTAAATGAACATCTTGGCATTGAGGTGGGAAGTTCAGGTCCAGAAGCTACGGGTGCAAAGCAGGGAATAACCCAGGATAGGGCACAAACTAGAAACAAACTATTTTGAAACATGAAAGCATAAAGTACAAAGAAGAGTTTAAATGTTGGCCTATGTATGGTGTGACATCATTATCCTAAACTTGTTGGGAGGGGTCACTTACCGTTTGACTAATAGTATGGCTGACTGGAATGCAACAACCAGGGGTAGGCAACCCTGATCCTGGAGTGCTGGTATCCAGCAGGTTTTCAAACCTACCTGATGAGTTACTATCTGCCTGACATCAAGTGTGGTTCATCAGAGACCAGGTACAATGGAAAACCTGCTTGATACTGGGATGTTAGGATCGGGATTGCCTGTCCCCGAGCCAGACAGTGTTCCGCTCATATCATTGTCCTTCTAACACAAATGGGGTTGTGTCTTTCTCAGGTCGAAGCTGTGTATCCCATACCTCCTGAAGAGTAAAAACCCTCACATCCTCAACTTAAGCCCTCCACTCAATCTGAATCCCGTCTGGTTTAAAAATCATACAGGTAAGCTTCATTGCGTAGCAGTGAGATTAATCACTTTTCAGGGGATTCTGGAACATGGTGATATTTAATAAAAGACAACTTCACTCAGGGTCCTGAGGCGAGTGGCTCCGAGTATCATGTAAGCCATTTGCTTGACAGCTCCTCCCCGTGTCTGTCCTCTGCAGCATACACCATGGCCAAATACGGCATGTCCATGTGCGTTCTGGGAATGGCTGAGGAATTCAGAGGGTCTATCGCAGTCAATGCCTTGTGGCCCAAGACAGGTAAATGGGTTATTGTTCAGGAGACTGAATTTGGTTGCTGTAACCTTACAGCACATAGAGATGTCGTCAGTGTAAAAAAAAAAAAAAAAAAAAAAGGCTGACCATTTAGCAGCCCCTGTGCGTTTCCATTTAACGTTTCTGCTTGCATTCCCATTGGCTGATGGCCGTCTTTCTCTCCCAGCCATTCAGACGGCAGCCATGGACATGCTGGGAGGCTCTGGCATCAGTAAGCAGTGCAGGAAGGTGGACATCATAGCAGACGCGGCCTACTCTATCCTGAACAAGCCCACCACCTACACGGGCAATTTCACCATCGACGAGGACATACTGAGAGCGGAAGGAATCTCTGACTTTGACACATATGCCGTTGTTCCAGGTGTGTGATCGCTTACGCGGAGTGGTGGTGTGTGCGTTTCTGTGAACATTTGTTTATCTGGGCACTGGGTTCGTTCAGTTTTTAGCCTCCCAAAAGCTGCCAGACTGGCTATGCAATGCTGGTGACTGCTGGACACACTCCGGTACACCAACAATGAACTTCCTCCAGGGGGCAGTGTCTGCCTCTGCCTGTGATCAGAAGGTCACTGGTATGAATGCTGTCCACAGCAGAATAGTCACATCTTCCTTAGACTCTTGAGCTAGGTCCTTAACCCTACTTTGTAGTTTTGGATTCTGGGTAAATGGCCTAGTCCTGAAACGTAGACATAATATGTACGTCTATGTCTCAAAGAAGAGCATGATGGGATAAGCAAAAAGATGCATTCCAATGTATCTGTACTTGTGCAAATGGCAAATAAGGCATTTAGTCTCATTGGTCGGCATTTGTGCCTGACTGCAGTGTGCAGACTGCAAACGTGCTTAACCGTAAGGTTAGTTAATCGGTCACGTGGATGGATGGATGGATGAATGAATGAACTGATTTTGTGTTTGAACAGGACATCCTCTGCTCCCTGACTTTTTCCTGGACAGCGACCCAGAAGAAGTTAAGAAGCAAATGGTGGACGAGGGTGAGAACAGAGGCAAACTGTCACTCATAGTTACTGTGAATAATCAGGATAAATCTGATAGTGACCTTGAAAGGATTCCTTTGAGGAGAATGGTTTCTTTAAATAGTATGAATGGTGCACAGGCTGTAGGCACTGTCTGATCACAAGAATGGTGGACAGAGTGGGAAATGGGAGGGGAAGCAGAAGATAATGTAGGGCCAGTCCTTGAAACTCTACCATTCCAGGGGGGAGTGTGTGGCTCAGTGGGCAAAGCCTACGTGCCTGTAATCAGAAGGTCGCCAGTTCAAACCCAGCTTCAGCGCGTCTGCGGGTCCTTGAGCAAGGCCCTTAACCCCCAGGTCCCTGGTACAGCTTACTTACAAAGAGCAAGTTGAGGGAGGCATAAAAAAGACAATTTCCCTACGGGGATCAATAAAAGTATCAATTATAATTTTTATCAATTGTTGTTGTTATTATTATTATTATTATAATTATTATTATTATTATTATTATTATTATTATTATTATAATTATTATTATAATAATTCATGACTGAAGAAGATCCATACTGTAATCATTCACTGTGGTTCCCACAGGAACTATGGCTGAACAGGCAAATGCAGGAGGCATGGCAGGCGGACCCATTGCTGCCACCTTCAAAGCCATTCAAGGAATCCTGAGCCCCGATGTCATTAAAACGACGCAGGGAGTTTACAAGTTTAACATCACTGGTGAGTGGCTGCTTGAGTCGCGCACTCGGCCCGGCAGGCGGCAGCCGTAGCCACATACTGCTGCCTCACCGGAGGCGGGGCTTGATGTCCTCAGGGGACGACGCCGGCGTGTGGTACATCGACCTCAAGAACGGTCCGGGAAGCGCAGGCTTTGGGGAGCCACCGAACGGGGAGGCGGATGTCATCATGACCTTGGACGGCGTGGACTTCATCAAGATGTTCAAAGGTGGGCTGTGATAGAGCAAGGAAGATGGAGGCCATCAGAGACGCCCTGTAACATGTCTGAGCACACTGTCAGAAAAAGGATACAGCCTTGGCTTCCCATGGAACGAACAACATTAATGTACCCCCAGTGATACAAAAATGTTCCTCAGAGTCTATTTCTGTACCTTAAAAGGTGCATTTACCTACAGCTAGGGGACAATTGGCAGACCCTTGAAGGTTCATCCCTAGTGACAAGTAATTATATCATCAAAGGTACAAATTGGTACTTCCTTTTTCCCTGACAGTGTATGGGTGGGACATGGACAGGAGCGGGCATAGACGTATGGGTTGTTTTAGTCATTATTGTCCTTTGATACCCATTCCTGTTTTAACTGCACAATATCTGTCAAGCAAGTGCCATGTTATTGAGCAGATTATTTAAAATAGAAAACTAGCATCCCCAAGATGGATGGATGGATGGACTGCATATAAAAAACAATGCCTGTATGTTAGTTGTATGTGTCCTCAGATTTAATTATAAGGGCTTAGATTGTGCCTTTTCCTAACAGGTCAACTGAAGCCAACGATGGCATTTATGTCTGGAAAGCTGAAGATTAAGGGTGATATGACTCTTGCCATCAAGATGGAGAAGATGATGACAATGATGACATCTAAACTTTAAGAAAAACATGCTGCCATTTCTAATTTTCTAAGCTTTGTAATAATGCTGATTTAGCTGTTCTTCAGTCTCATACGTAAATACAAATATAACAATTGTGTATAAATTTTGTGAAAACATACACGATCAGCTGTTGGTCTCCTGCAGGCTCTGTGCTCCTGTTAGGATGACTCTGGGTGTGAAAAGGTGGCATACACTCAAGGTTTTTCAGAGCGGTTCACAAATGATTCTGTTACCACCTGAACATGTACAGCAGATATAGAATGACTTTCAGATTTGACGGAGGTGCCGTCACAGTAGATGACCTCACCAATTCTGAAGATGCTGCCCTTACTATAATGACAGAATTACTGCACAGCTAAACTTTCAGCGAAGCTGACAATCTGACAGCAGTGTTTAGCAGAGTCACCAGTGTGTTTATGGTTAAGGATTAACTCCATCAGGCTTTACAATTAACAATGGTTTAAAAGAAACTGGAAGTGATTCATATCTTCATGACCCAAAGGGGTTGTCAAATCCTAAACCACAGACATCAAAACCTCAGCAGTAGTACTAAGTGCCTGATAATTATTAGTGGTGGCAGGGGCTCAAAAAAAGATCAAAACTTATCTAGTGACACATTTCATCACTCGGGATCCGGTGTCCCCATCACATTTCAGGACTGGATTAACAAACTAAATTCACAACTTCCAATTGGTTTAAACCAAGCATGCTAACAAATAAAGAATGGAAGCTCAGCACGTGAAGCAGAAAGTCTGGGAAAAGTCATTGCCAACAAGCCTCTGACCCCCAAAATTGATAACCCCACCCTAAACAGGAGGTGTCCAAGTATGGACCAATTAGATCACATGCCCATTTTGGGATTATCCACCTCATTTGATATAACACCAACCTGTGAAACAACAAACATGCTTAGATTGAATTGTGTCAATAAAGGACAACAAATAGACTGAAAGGAATGCAAATACTGTTCTTTTTTTCCTTATGTTCAATCTGTTTTGACTTTAGGTCAAAGACCTGCGTGAAGTTGGCCCTCCACATGATTCAGATTTCAACCAAATTGGTCTCAATCGTTTGTGCCGGATTGTGCCCTTAAAATTTTTGTTTGTGCTATTTTAGTTTATGAGATATAAATGTTTGTTTACATGGATCCGTTATCAGCGTGAAGTTGGCGCCCCAATTGCGTCTGATTTCCACCAGACCGATCGCAATCATGTGTGCGGCGTTTGTGCCGTTAAAACTGTCCTTTGTGCTGCTTTAGTTTCTGAGATATTAATGTTTGTTTACACGGTGACGTGACACCAGCGTGAAGTTGGCCCCCCATTTGTGTCTGATTTCCACCAGACCGATCGCAATCGTGTGTGCGGCGTTTGTGCCGTTAAAACTGTCCTTTGTGCTGCTTTAGTTTCTGAGATATTAATGTTTGTTTACACGGTCACGTGACACCAGCGTGAAGTTGGCTCCCAATTTGCGTCGGATTTCCACCAGACTGATCGCAATCGTGTGTGCGGCGTATGTCCCGTTAAAACTGTCCTTTGTGCTGCTTCACATTTACATGGTCATGTGACTCCGCCCCCATTTGCCTCCGAACTGGTCTCAATAGTTCGTGCCGTTTAAAAATAGTCTGTACTGTTATTTCTTATACCTCTTAGTTTATGCCTTTACATGATCGCTGTATAGTGCTCAGGCTTGTGTTTCTCATGTTAACAGAAGGTGGAGCCATTACTTGAGATATGGGAGTGAAAAAGCAAAACGGCTCTTGCAGTGTGAAAAGTGATTGTGTGCCATTTACAGGGTAAAGCACATCACAGAACTCTAAATTATGTGCAGACGTACGTAACATAGCGTCTTGCTATGAACGCCCCAGCACCAAACGCAACCAGTGATTGAGTTAATGCTTAATACTGTACAACAGTGTATAAACTCTTGTCATTTTGCCTGGTTTATTGCGATGTCTTTACCTTCCCATGGACCCTCTTACTTGTCGCACGTACATAGCGGTTAAATAAAAATGTCCAATAATGAAGTTTTACTTTCTCCCTCCACTCAACCCGAACTAACATTTAACCAATCACATCCAATTTACAAAGGTTTTGTAAAGGTGGCGACCAATGAAAGTTCAACTATTAAACAATTTAGCACCGAGTGCATAATCATTGATCTGTGGTCGCCAAAACAATTGTCTTTTTACTAAAATAATACTTAATCTACTTTGGAAATACGTCATGAAAGGTACGTAAAATTTGTACATTAAAAAAGTATTGACATAACTCGGTATATTGAAGGCAGTTATATTTGCAATTAAAAATGTATGTAGGACAGTTAATGCACAAAGCTCTTTTGCACATTTTAATTAAAAAGTATTAACAAGTAATTATTTGATATATACAGATAAAATACATAAATATACTAAAGTCGTGGTCATTTCCGTTTCTTTTGATCAGATGCCCAAAATTCCTAGCTCAGCAAGGAGAAAATAATTGAGGTTCTCCAGACAGCACAGAATCAAATTGTCAATGGCGGTCATATAGCTGTTCCTTCTGATGATGTGTGGATTGCTCTGAGCCAGCCAAAGCGTTGTATACGTTTGTAAAATTAAACCGCCATTAATGTATGGCGAAGTTTACGGGTAGCTGTGGTGGGGGGCGGTGATGACAGTGCAGTGTCCCGTTAAGATTCATGGAGATGAAGATTGTGACCTGCTGCTGACACCACAGACAGAAAATATCATTGAATTTAATGTTACACTTTCCGAATTAAAATGGAAAACTACCAGCTTGCTTTATTAGAGTAGATGTTGCTCACTGCATAAAGCTCATCAGTCGATGGGAATGCCTGAGGAGAAAACCCTGCAGAGTAAGAATTTTACCTCCGATGCATGGCCAAGCTTTTACAAGCAGGGACACTGGATGATGCACATCAAATTTACTCAATTACAGTCGTTGCTTTGAGTGAGACTGAAGGGCACAATGAAACAGGATGTCCTGTAATGGCAGAAGTGAGCAAGATTTACCTGAGGGCGAGAATTTCAGAAGTGAGTGCCGTCTGTCCTAACATGAAGGTTGATGAAACTGAAGAAACAAAAATGGCCAATTTCACAGAGCCAACTCAGACAGACATGAAAGACTGGGTTACAAATATCATTGAGAAAGCCAAATCGACGATCGTGGACAATGGTGACAGGGACAATCTGCACTTTCTTCCAGAAATAATTCCTCATGTATTAAGGATATCTAGTTACCTCCCTTTGTGGACAAGCATTATGATCCCATTATATAAAAGTGCGAAACTCACTGCAAGCACAGCCTGCGTTGAAGCTGAATTTAACAGACTAAAGAATAATGTTTTCAAACATGAAAACTTACCTGTTCGGATAGACAGGTTCATTGTTCGGCACCTTGGTTCAATTGAAGGAAACGTGAAAATTTCCAAAGCAACCGAAGATTGTGCCACAGGGTCCTCTCACAGAGACAAAACCAGAACAGCGTCAGAGGAAGTGATGGAACATGAAGGAGTCCCATCAACTGAAAACTGGAGAGGTCTTGGAGTGCCACCGAAGAAAAGAAAGCACACTTAGCTCGCACCATGTTCTGAATGGCTACATGCTGATACATCTGTCACATGGAAAAAAGCCAAAATTGGACTGCTGAAAAGTGGAAACTGCCTGACTCAACCGGTAACAACACAAGGAGAACAACTAATTGTGAAAAATACCTGTGCATTTGATTCATTCTGCCAGGTACTCTGCTGTGCATACTGTGACAGCGAGACCTTCAGCCAGTTTCTAGGCAATGCTGGCAAGTCCACTGAGGTTTTTGAACTTGTCCAGCACATTGTTCAAAAAGGAGTCGACAGAAAAGCATATTTACTGCGAACAAACATCTTAATGCACATGTTTACAATGACAGCAATGAAGTCAGGTGTTCAAATGCTGGATGCACAGTGTCACATCTCAAATATAACTGCAAACACCATGAAGACTGCACCAAGCATTATCTCTACTGGCTCCTGTTCTACCATTTATCGCTCAAGTCAAGCAGTTTCCAGAAATATCCCTTTTGTATCGGCAAGTGAATAGGTGTTGATCAATAAAGGAATGTCAGAGCTGAAAACTGCATTGCTTGAACAACTCACCATGAGCAACATGAAAGGCCAAGCCAGAATTCCAAACCCAGAAATATATCTTCGACAGCACCAGTCAGTCAGCAGTCTCTGCAATGGCACAGTGATGCATTCATTCAGCACAGGACAACTCTTATGTTGATGTGGACCATGGCATCAACCAAGCTCAAACAAATCTAACAGATTGCAGGAAGCAGAAACTTTGTGACTTGCCAATAACCATGAAGCTCCAAGATGACATGTTCATCCTGAGAGGAGCTGTAGCATTCTGCCCAGGACCAACTGTAGACTGTCTTGGCCACTATATTGCTTCTTGCAGGAGACATCTGGCATCTGGGAGAAATATGATGATTTGCGCACAAAAGCTGTTACAGTTTAATATTGAAAAATAGCAAAAAAAAAAAAAATAATAATTTAAATTGGTCATTTTTTTTTTTACTATAGCTAGCTTATAATGTCATGAACGCCTCCAGAGAATTTGGTCTTTGGCTTTTCAGTCGTTGCCAATGGAGCCCCCCCCCCCCCCCCAATAAGTTCACTTTGTTATCTTAAATCTCCCTTAATATTGATCCAAGATGCGTGTGGTTTCCGTTCCATGGGTTACTCATATGACCAAATCAGCATGCCAAGTTTCATTAAAATCTGTGATGAGGTCTAAAAGTGTGATGATTAGAAACGGAATTACCCGCCTGAGGAATGTTAAAATTTTCATTTTTCTGTTCTATACATATCAAATGTGATTTTTGAAAAATTGTTTAATTTTATATTTAAAAAACAAAATTAAGTTATGTGATGTTTGATAAGACTGTTTAATAAGCATTTAAAAATTACTTGGTGTTTGGTAAAGGAATAAGGTTCCCTTGAATTTAATAAACCATAAGTTAACATTTGAATTGCTGTGGACTAACAGAGAGACTCCTGCAAGGGACTTTTTTTCTGTGCAGATTAGTGGTAATACTATAACTGAGTTCAGAATAGTAAATGCACTGAAATAAACATTTTAGCTTAGTGTTGTTTCTTTCTACAAAATACGCTATGCAACGCCACCATTTTTTGAAAAAGGCAACTGTGAGTATTATAATAACTTCGGAATCCGGGGTCAACCACAAAACCTAAGGTCTATCTACTCTATGAATCTCACATAGTGGTGTAGATTTGAGTAGTAACGAGTAAGTAAGTAACGAATACCAGGCTGTAACGAATCGTTACGAGTATTCAGCTATTCAAGGATTCGTTGCTGATAGTAACCAAATGACTGATCAAACCGCCCAATCGGTACTCGCCATGTAGACTGTTGTTTGCGACAGTTCTGGCTAACATGCACTTGCAACTGGTTTCCATTATCTGAAGCCTGCGCTCATTGTCTGAATGTTGTATGGCCCACATACGAGTCTGAGGGGGGGGGCTGGGTCACTGCAATGACTGGCCAGGGTAATTAGTCGCCCATCGCCGTTCTAACAACATAAGATATATGTATGTCTTAAGTTCATTGTAGTAACGAGTATTGGGTAACGAGTATTAAGTAACGAATACTGGACTGCCGAGTACTGGGTAGTAACGATTACTCAAAAGTAACGGATAACCACATCGCTAATCTCACGAAGATTTAAATCTCTGCCTTGGGTCACATTCGAAACACACACACGCTCACACACTCTACATGAACGACGTAAGAACTGCGTGTGCCCTACAGCTGAAGCGCTCTGAGTCTGACTAACAGGTGTTATGCCGAGTTTTGCATGCCTTCGGAGAACTGCATGCACCTCGTAAAGTATTGTATTTTTGTAGGGTAAATTGCTGATTATAGCTGTCAAGTTATATATCGCCTGTGTTTCACGCAAAAATATGCACAGATAATGTAATCTGAACATCTCTTCAGTGGCACCAGTTGATCCTAAGGTGACAATGATAATACAGGGGGATTTGCATAACTGAAATTTACACGGTTAAGTCAAAGTTGCCTAAGACACATGCTGGTAACACCATGTGATTCTAAAAATGTAAAAAGTGTGTGAAAAGAAGATTAAAGGGGGGTGCATTATTCCACAAGTCTGATTTCATAGCTGCCGAGATTTGCATCCCCCATTTTTCACGAGGTGCATGCAGTTCTCGGCAGGCATGCAAAACTCGGCATAACACCGGAGGTGACCCTTATTCCCTTGTGAACACCAGAGTCAGCGACACTAGCAGTGCAGGGGAGGAAGGAGGTCAATATATTGTAAAAAATATAGCGAAAAATATGTATATCTGTATGTATGAATACATATGTATGTATGTGTGTATAGTTAATGCACAGATATAGACCTCACAAATATTAACCCCACCCCCTCCCTAATTTCTAAAATGGCATTGCTCAAGTGAAAATGCAGCGCCCCCTTATAAAATAGCAGCATAAAATGAATGCAAATTGCTACATACGAAACGCATATGGGTGTTAGCCACTGAGAATCTGAATTTATTCAGCACGATCCTGAAATGCGGTATCTGGCTAGAGGGGTTGACTAAGTACGGACAGTACGGACATTTTTTTCAATGGCACAAACTATTGAGATCGGTTCGGAGGCAAATGGGGGGCGGAATCACGTGATCATGTAAATGTGAAGCAGCGCAAAGGACAGTTTTACCTGCACAAAAGCCGCACACACGATTGCGATCGGTCTGGTGGAAATCAGACGCAAATGGAGGGCCAACTTCACTCTGATGACGACACCATGTAAACAAACATTTATATCTCAGAAACTAAAACAGCACAAACAAAAAAATTAACGGCACAAACGCGGCACAAACGATTGAGACCAGTTTGTTTGAAATCTGAAACATATGGGGGGGCAACTTCACGCAGGTCAACAAATCGACTGAAAGGAATAGAAATAGTGTTCTTCTTTTCCTTGTGTCCAATTTGTTTTGACTTTGATACAAAGCAGTCACCAAAATAACTTTTTATTATTACATCACATCAGTTCTTTTAATGTAACAAATATGAAATTCTCAAATTGTAATCATCTCTCTCCTGTCTGGTTCTGGGTCTCACCGCACTTTTGGCTTCCCAGCTGGCTCAGGGGGGTCCTGCAGGGCAGTATTCGCCTTGGGCATATGGGAGAAGCAGGGGGAGAGGGCCCCTGTGCTAGCGCCTCCTAGTGGCTGCCGACTCTCATGGAAGCCGTCTTTCACTGGGTCCTACTCCTCCTTGTATAGTGGCATAGTTGTGCACTCCTGTTTCCAGGCAGGTTTTAGCAGCAGACGGACAAAAGTCAATGCCTATACAAATGCATAAATCGACCAAGAACCAGTGAACAATCTAATGTGGCAACAAAACAGCCAATCAAACAGAAACCACTGTAAAACATTACTCTGGGGGGAGGGATACTTTGAAGTATACGTAAAAAAAAAAAAAAAAAAAAAAAAAAAAAAAGGACAGTACAGCTGGAATTTTTTTAGGGAAACACTGGTGGACAACCAGATCTGTCCACAGGACATGTAATTTTATAAAGCAACAAAAGCCCTCTTCAAAGCAAAAAAAAAATTAAAGACGTGTTTCGTTCCAAACGGTAGCAATGTGGCAATAGATTTTGCATGTACAGTAAAACCCTGGATTGTGAGTAACTTGGTCTGCGAGTGTTTTGCAAGACGAATACAAATTTTTAATAAATTTTAACTTATACGCTTTGTCTGCCTAGCGCCACGTGATCACAACTGAGCCGATGATTCTCTCTCTCGCTGCGGAATTGTGGGTAATCGTCTCCCATGCTCGGCCTCAGTCGGCGTGACTCACTCGTATAGTCAAAGTTTAGTAGAAAAGCACCACCCGAATAAGGGCGTAGCAGTGTGACCGATGAATCTGTTTAACGACAATGCAATGTCCACATTTCCGAGGCAAAAGCGGCTGTCATTGGATAGGTTGTCATTGTATAGGTTCAGTCATACAAAAAGAAAAATTCCCTTGAGCCAACAGATAGCAGTGATTCCGTTTTAGTGAAAGTCGTCCTACAAAATAACCCCTTTTCTTCTCCTCTCTCTCGTCTCCCTCACACCATCCACGATTCATTTCAAAGGTAAAGTGCAGGTTAATTTCTTTTATGTATTTTTACTTTATATTTTGTATTAATCATTTTTATATGAATATTTTTGTGTTGTGGAATGAATCATCTGAGTTTCCATTATTTATATTGGGAGAACTCGCTTTGATATACGAGTGCTTTGGATTACAAGCACGTTTCCGGAACGAATTATGCTCGCAATCCGAGGTACCACTGTACTTTAAAAACAAGTGCTTGTTATACTGATTCTATTTAAGCATCAATGTAGTAGTCCATAATGTAGGAAAATGTATATTTATTGCGTTGAAGATGAAACAATGTCATTGTAGAGCGTAAAGTGTCAGATGAAACGAAGCATGACAAAGAAGCTTTTTCTGTAAATAGGCATACCATGGAAAATCAAAGAAAGCAAAGTAGCTGCAGGGATGTGGAGATTAAATTTGTAAAAGAACGCTGACCTTTGCTGCATATTGCTATGACGGTTCTGGGCATTTATAGAGCAGAGACCACCAAACTGAAGTGACGTCAATCGCACATGTAATGAAATTATACTGATCTAATTGATTTCAACCGGTTGACTGCCTGCAAAACACCAGCTCGTTTGAATGCAGTTTAACAAATGAGGATTTAAAAAAAAAAGTGTTCTGCAGATGAACTGTTATGGCAATGGGGAGGTTTCCTGGAATTTTGCATAATGAATATCACAGTCGCCTAAGTTTAACCTCTGTATATACTGTAAATTGAATTTCAGAAGAGATGTCAGAGTTGGTGCTGGAGAGGTCTGACAGAAATGAACAGTATAGATGCACTACAAACCAATCAAGAGAGAGAGAGAGAAGAAAGGAGCTCATTGACTGAGCCCTCAGCGACCAGACAGGATAGCCAATGAAGGCGTCTGCCTCAAGTGGCCTTCAACCAATAGAGGAGAAAGCCAAGGAAACATGGAGACCGATGCAGAGCAAGTTGAAACCCGAGGTAAGACAAAGACACAGGAGGACTAAGGAAAGTACCGATGTCATTACATTTATTTAAGGCATGCTACAACTGAAGTTAGGGAGAAAGTAAGCAGAGTAGTATCTGGAGTAGTATTCATAGTAATAGCAATATTATTATAGGCAATACAAACCCAAACTGTCTTCTATAAAATACAGAAACACCATGCACACTGCAAAATTAGAAAACATGTTTCTTTAATCAAACCTCTAGTTGCATGTCATTACATTAAGTCAACAGTGGAAACCACTCTCTCCTGACCAATGGTGCCACAGTTACTGCTTTACAAAGGAAAGCTGCTTCTGGAAACTCAGTAAAAATGCACAAGACAAAGTCTGTTTTTTTCTTTATATTGCAAAATATATATTTTTGTTCCCAAACACTGGAAACAAAGGAAAAATAAGGAAAACAAAGGGGAAAATATATGTACAGCATTTGTTTCCTTATTGTAATGAACATTCAAACAAAATGGTGTTATCACATGTCCAACTGAAAAATGCGTGGGAAAAAAAAAACTGAGGCTAAAAATGAACTTGAGGCTCACGTCCCCAGGGATTGAGTATGCTCCTCCCATTGAGACCAGGCATTTACGCAAGGGATAAGAATTTTACTGTTAAAATAGCGTTTAATTTTCATGACACAAATGAAGCTAAGGTTTATTCATCTGCATCTTTAACTCGATGGTTTGCACAAAGCTCAAATTCAAATACTCCTTTGGTGTCTGTAGACTTGCTTAGTGATTTTTTTTTTTCTAAAGCTTTTAAAACAATCAATTTTCTTCAGTGACACATTGTACATTGCAAACTAAGATACAGGTTTGACCCCATTCAGAGAGATCCTGGGAATATTTCCATTTAAACAGCCATTCTCATTAAAACGACTAAATAAATGAGAAAATTATCAAATGCATATGTGGCTTTGTCAAGACACTGACAAAGAGCGAGAGAACAGCCAAATATGCAAATAAATTAGTCTTAATAATATGTCTTCTGTATAAATAAAATTATGACTGGACTTCAAACAATCTTGTGCCATACTTAATAAAAAAATAAACACATTTATTTAAAAGACTGTCTTGGAATCTTTTTTTTAGTTATTCAATCACATACAATTTGAAAAGCAAGACACTGTTTACACGATTTTTGACAGTAAAAAAGAATAAGGTCATATGTAATTAAGGTCTGTAAAAGGCACAAAAAACTTTGGTCCGGTTTTATATGTTTTTTTTTTTAATAAGGTAAATATGAATATTGTGTTTAGCTGATTAATAAGGTACTTTAAAATGTGAATGAGCTTCTTCGATCTAAATCCTTAAGACTGAACACAAAATAACTAAAAAGACCCAAAAGTCTTGTGTCTGTGGTCATTTTGCTCCCAGATGGTTTTGAAATCTGACTTTTTAATCATTAAAAAAAAGACTCAGAAGAAAAATCAGTTATTGAATGGGGGGGGGGAAAAAAGATCCAATGCAGCCAATTCAGGCTTAGAGATGCCTACACATCCCCCGATCGGTTTTAAAATAAATATGGTTTGCCAGGAATGACCTGGATTAAGCTTTTTATTTTTTTCCCCCGAAAGTAATAGATAACCCAAACCCTGCGATGAAACAATGACAGAGGACAACCCAAAGCAGTTTCACACCTTCTTTAAAACATCACACCAAAGATAAATCAACAAGCTAGAATAACGAAAAAAAATAAAATATATATATATTTATATATATGTATATTATACAGTGAATGGTTACATCCCTACGTAACAATCATGAAGATGCATCTCAGACAGATTCACACAAAAGGGCCAAACAAAGCATTCTTAAAGGGACGCTCTGTGCTGTGGGCCTCAACAGAAAAGTTTTGAAAAATCTGTACGTCTTTTTTTAGTCCCTACTACACACCAAATGAATCTTCCAGATATTGAGGGGAAACTGATTTTCACTGACTTCACACGGAAGCAACGCAAGAGGGACTGTGAACAATGACAGGCACGAGATTCTCTTACGTCTGCAACCGTGCCTATTTCGTGTCACAAGAACTTCCTTAAGAACATCACTAGTGTACCTGTTGTGATTGATTTTGATGCATCGAATATTCATTTTTTGTCGCATGTTTTTCCCCCAAATTTAGTATCCGCAACACATTTTGTAGTTAGTTTAGATGAATTTCAAGGAGGGTGCTTTTCTAAATATTTTTTTTATTTTTTTAAACTTTAGTTGTTAGGTCAGATCTAATTCCAAATTATTCATAATGATAGCATTTAATGCACCTTGGTCCACCTGCCATTGGCATGATCAATTCATTTGGTCCTTGCATTGCATTTACATACAATAACAAATCCAATAATACGTTAATTGAACTTAAGCAGCACTGACTAATGGCAGCTTCTGTTATATTTAAGGCATGCAATATCTTTTACTGAAATAGCCCTTGAAAATAGCAAATACGCCACAAGGAACCCGTAAGGAGATGTAATGAAAAGAAACTAATCTTTTAATGTTAACTGCTATGACTATTTACAAAGTCCTTGAGCTGTAATGTATTCATAATCTTATAACTGGAAATGTGATCAAATGCCACAGAGTTAGAGTACATTAAAGGCCGTATCTCATTAATACAACCAGATTAATCAAAGGACATATTTGATTATTTGTGATTCACAATGCAGTCTGATAAAGTTTAAGCCCACATTACAGTGAAAAATCTACATGAAACATCTGCAGAAAAGCCATTTCTGGTCCTGTGTATCTACCATAATGAAGAACAGCATGGCATCAGCAGGGGTTCCTGGCCTCACGAGCTTCAATCAGGCCCTCTGTGCACAGATTTCACATGAACACCCAGAATTTCCTACGGTTTCTGTCAGATAATCGGGTTGTCTCAATTTTCAGACAAATAAGCAAGCCATAATTTTGCCCTATCTGTATGAGTTCACAATTGTATCCTACTCCATCAGCTTAACAAACTCCTCAGAAAGTGTAGGTTCATCCGAACCACTATCTCCTTTCAAAGTTCCCAGGAAAATAAAGAGGCTTTAATAGAATGCAAAGCACCATTGAAAATGAAGCGTATTGTCGTGTAAATGTGATCTCATTGGTTTCTCTCCAACAGTGGAAGGGAGAAGATGATTTGCACCATAAATACATATTTCAGGCACGTGTCTGAATGAGCTCTCTGGGAGAGAAGCCCACTGGCATCGGTCCTGTGCCAATGATGGCTGATTTAGGCACTGGGATATGAACAAACTTGTTCAGCTGAAATGCCAATGCAAGTCCCAAACAAGGTTTGCTAATCATTTCCAAAGAATGAAGTTCAGATCCATCAGCAATTTGCCTCCAAAATTGTTTCATCTTCACATAATAAAAGATGCCATAATCGGAAGGGTTAGAAGCCCACAGCACACACTGTATGTCTAGTTAACCATTCAATCCACTATGTGCACTGAAAAACAACAACACACACACATACACTTCCAATTAAGACAAGTAAAACAAAGGAACTCTCTCACCAACCCCACAAAGTAGTATATATCTTAGGTAAGGTTTCTAGAATCTATTTGATTATGAGCACATAATAAGGCACATAATAAGAAATTAAGTGAAGACACAGTAATATGATTTTTCTGTGATTTCTTGAGTGATTATATTGGTACAAAAACCCAGGAAGTTACAGATTTCTTTTCACTTCCATAAAAAAACTTATTACCAAAAATAAGTAATTTTCCTTTTAAAAATCCTGACAATTTGTAAAATATACAGACCTGAATTATTTTAAGACTGTAAACTTAAAAAAAAAAATTGTGAGAGAGGGAAAAGCTTGGATGTTTTAAAATGAATGTTTGCCTTTTGTACCTCTCCAGGTATAGGTGAAAACAGTAACCCAGCCTTGCTTTTGCTTACATGTCGCTTTTCCTAGGAGTAAGGAGGAGACGGTGCCAGTGGGTGACCTTGGGGACAGAGGCACAATTCTACTGCATCACAAGAACCTCAGATCACGCCAACCCTCCCTGGAATGTTAAAGGTAACTCGCTACCCAACCCAGTGACCCAAGTCAATCGTCCATAGTCTTATTTACTCCCCTTCTCTTCTATACCATGAGAGTGATACTCTTCTTTTCCTGTAGCTCCCTGGTGTACTCATCTCCAATTCTAGGCACACATGCAAGGTTTGGTTTAATTAGTAACACTGCAAGGCAAATGGGGGAAGGGGGGTATTTTTTGCCATAAGGAAACAACCGAAAGAACAAAGCAACAGAAACCAAGATGAAAGGAGCTGAGAAATGAATTAAGGCAAGGCTACAGGTTCTCAGAGAAGGTAGCACTTGCTACACGTTACAGATTCATCTGGTAAAGTGATCAAACGAATGTACTGGTTTACCTACATACCCTAGACTAATGACAGTCACCCTTCTCCAGTCTCTTCACATTCATGATTCCACGGTTTTTCTTCACCTGAGCACCGAGTGTATGAGTGTTCCAGTATGATCATGGCGTGGCCACTCCACTCCGCACGTCCACGCCGCCGTGATCTCGCTGCCATCGCCGGCGACTGCATACGTGAGGTGGACCTCCGCCAACATGCCAGCTCCGTCCGCAAACCTCATTTAGAGGAGCGGACGAAAAGCACATTTATTTGCCGTCAGTTTTCACAAATAACCAACTTCTGTGTCTAAAAGCCTTTGCACAGTAAAGTAAGTGATGAAGGTGCAAAACGTTCCTTAAATAAAGACTAAATAAGACGGCAGCCTGGTCTCGGGTTGTTCCGAAACTGCAGCGCTGCAGCGTTCTTGTCAGGGAATCCGCAGGCGAGTCCTAGGCGCCAGTCGTCGCCCCAACAGTGGCCCTTGTGCGATAACCTCCAACCACAGCAAGACACTTGGCATGAATACCACAGGAAATGAAAGGTGTCACTGCCCTTCCGCTGAGAGGGCTGAATCCAGGCCTGACAACTCACCGCTCCCTCCTGCTCATGGCTCTTCAAACCAAAATGGCTAGTTTTGTAGATGCAGCATTTGGTCACGGTCCACGTGCCGTCAAACATCAGTGTGAAAGTGAACCCCAGGGTTCCAGAGGCACCTCCCCTGATACACTGACCCCCGACTAGTCCACCAAAGGAGGTTCCGAAGCGCAACACCCGAGGCGATGGTCGCACAAGGATGTTAAAGATCCTCCCCTGAATCCAGAACTGGCCTTCACCATGCGTTCCTCTCTGAACGTTCGAAGTCTATTCCATTTTTAAAATCTAACTATCAAAATGAATCTATTATGTTTTTTTCCATAAATTGCTAGTTCTAAATCAGCTGATCACTTTTTTTCTCCTGAAGGCCAGGGAGTAAAAGTTTCCGTGTGCAAAAGTGGCTGTTAGATGGTGGATTTGGAGAAGGACACTCTGAGATGGTGGTTCTCCCCCAGGTCATGGTTGTGCAGATCAATCAGCGCCTGGATGGCTTCTTCCACAGAGCCAAGCTGGATCAAAGCCATCTTGTGGTCTTTCCTATAAACCAAAACACGTGTCAAATCAAGGATGAAAATGACATTCATGCATAAAAAACATACGTTAAAATACTCAGCAGACTACACACATAGAGATCACAAAGCACTGAACCAACAATACTGAATAACTAATGTTGCACCCTGTGCAAAATCAACATTTTCTATACTGAAATGTATTATTTTACCGTAAAAATCATTTCCCATCTCAGAAGATGTGAGTGAACAATAAGAATGTACAGTTGCTTGTCACTATGCTAGTTTAACACATTGCTACCAGTCATTATCTTGTCATATACTATTCCATGGTGTAAGACAAGTGTCCAGGGTATGACGTTAAACTGCATCCGGCCCTACAAGCAGTCCTCCAACTTGCAGGGAAACAAATTTTTTTGGGGTTGGTGGCTGGATTGGCACTCCAGTCACCGTAAAACAACTCACAACTGCTCAATACAAACAAGCACAATACTCTGCTCTCCACAGGAGAAGCTCTGCAGGAAGACTGCATGCACCATGAAGGGGATGGGGGAAAGCCTTCGGTACCCCATCCCCGGATGAGTCGAAACCGTTGGAGAGCTAATAGGTTCAGGCCTGTTGGGGATCGGGACTGGTGTGGTGCTGAGGTGTTGCCTACTGCATGGTGGCACTTGGGTCCCAGTTTGAGGGGACCCATCGGGGTAGGCACATGGAACGTCTTGTCTCTCCAGCAACATGACCATGTTCCTCTGCTGTTGGGGGAGCTTCGTAAATTCCGCATTTCGGTGGCAGCACTCTCTGAGGTACGCAGACCCGGGTGTGGCCAGATCTCTGTAGGTAGGTATACCTACTTTTGGTCTGGTTGGTCTAACGGCAGCTATACTCAGGGAGTGGCTGTTGCTGTAGCGAATCGGCTCCTTCCGATGATGTCTGATGTCACTCGTTTCAACGAGCATATTATGAGACTCAGGCTAAGGCACTCCTTGGGTGTCTTGTCTGTTGTCTCAGTGTATGCTCCGACCACGGTGAGTGATGTCTCGTTGAGGGAGACATTTAACTATCAACTTAGCCCGGTGGTTGAAGGGTGCCCACGAGGTGACACTCCTCTGGTAATGGGTGACTTCAGTGCGACCACTGGCATTGAAAGGGCAGGCTATGAGGATTGTGTTGGTCCCCTTGGGTCTGGAGACTAGGGTGAAAATGGCTCCATGTTCCTTGACTTTCTGAAAGAATCCTAGTTCCAACGCCCTGAGTCGTATCGTTGGACTTGGTACTCCAATACTGGTGGTGCAGTGAAGGAGATCGATCACATCCTCATGGGCAGACGGAGACTCCTGCACAATTGTAGGGTCTACAGAAGTACCCAGTTTGTGAATTCTGACCACAGACTTGTTGTTGCTACTCTGAAGATTCAGTTTAGATCCTGTAGGATACCACCTACTAGGAGAACGAGGTTGGACTTAGCCAGACTCCAAGATCAAGCTGTTTCTGATGAGTTTGCACGCAATTTGTGTGAAGAACTTGCAGACTTGGGTGCAACTGCTGACTCTAATGTGATGTGGGAGACCTTCTGTGAAAAAACCCTGAAGGTTGCCATGGGTTGTGTTCTCAGAAGGAGGTGTTTCATCTCACAGGGCACCCTGGATATTATTGAAAGGAGTCGCACCGCATGACTTGGTGGCAACTCCAGTCTGTACTGAGAACTGAGAAGGACGGCAGTTAGGGCAGTTAGGTGTTTATTAGATGAATCTGTGAGCAGGTGACACACCATCTGAGGTCTATTGACCCACGTCCTGCTTAGAGAGGAATCAAAGCATTACGCACATCTGAATCTGTTCCTCAGAGACTTGCAATCAGGGCGAGCGATGGAACGGTCCTTAAGGATGACACTGCAGTTGTGACCCGCTGGGACGGTTACTTTGAGCAACTGTTTAAAGCTGACCCTCCAGCTAGGATGTTGGACATCTCTAGGTCCACGATTCTCAAAGATGACCCTCCAATCAGCTGTGAACCTCCCAGTCTCACAGATTACGTGGGTGGTGAATCAGCTGAGGGTAGGGAAGGCTGCAGGGATCTGTGGTATCTGGGGTGACTCCAGGCTGGTGGTAAGGCTGTCCTCCTGGCATTGTAGACAATCTTTGCTTCTAACTGGGAGTCAGGCATCATCCCAACTGACTGGAAAATGAGACTTGTAGTCCCTATCTGGAAAGGGAAGGGTGATCGCATGGATTGCGGCAACTACTGCTTTCAGTGCAGAGTAAGGTCCTTGCTAGGGTCATCCTTAACAAGATCCGTGATCACTTGCTTGTCAGTCAGCGACCGGAGCGGCCTCGTTTTACGCCTAAGTAGTCTACCATCGACTGTATCGTTGCACTGAGGGTTCTCATCGAGCGCAAGTGCGAATATCAGCAAAGGTTCTTTGCAGCCTTTGTCGACTTTCATAAAGCGTTCAGCTCAGTTGATCGAGTTGCCCTGTGGGACATTCTAAGACTTCGCTGGATCCCCCCGAAGTTACTGGATGTCTTGCCCAGCCTATACACTGGTACTGTGAGTGCTGTGCAGAGTGGAGGGAGAACCTCTGCATTCTTCCCAGTTGATTCTGGGGTTCGCCAGGGGTGTGTTCTTGCTCCTACTCTGTTCAATGCTTGCTTAGGCTGGGTGTTGGGCAGGATCGTGGGGTCCAGCGGCTGTAGGGCGTCCGTTGGTGAAGAAAGATTTACTGATCTTGACTTTGCCAACGATGCTGTGATCTTAGCGGAGTCAATGGAGGCTCTGATCGGGGCTCTCGAGAGACTGAGTGAAGAGTCTCGGTGTCTGGGATTGCGGGTGTCCTGGATAAAGACCAAGATCCAGGCATTTAATGACTTCTTGGGCACAGCCATCAGTAGGGTGTCTGTCTGTGGGGAGAATGTCAGCCTTGTCGAGAGATATACCTACCTCGGCAGTGACATTCATGTCTCTGGTGACTCTTCTTATGAAGTCAGCAGACAGATTGGAAGAACATGGGGGGTCATGAGGTCGCTGGAAAGGGGTGTATGCCGTTCTCGATATCTTTGCAAGAGGACGAAGGTCCAAGTCTTTAGAGTCCTGGTACTCCCTGTCTTGCTGTATGGCTGTGAGACATGGATGCTATCCAGTGACCTGAGACAAAGACTGGACTCCTTCGGTACTGTGTCTCTTCAGAGAATCCTTGGGAACCGCTGATTTGACTTTGTATCAAATGAGCGGCTGCTAGAGGAGTCCTGAATGAGGCACATTACCTGCATTGTGAGGGAGCATCAGTTATGGCACTACAGCCATGTGGTGCGTTTTCCTGAAGGCGATCCGGCTCGCAGGATCCTCATTGCTGAGGACCCAAGCGGCTGGACCAGGCCAAAGTGACACCCACGTAACACCTGGCTGCGGCAGATGGATGGCCACTTCCGGAGGGTGGGACTGGACCATGTATCTGCCTAGGGGATCACCGGCTGGGATCCCGAGGAGTTTCGCTGTGTAGTGGGAGCGGCAACGCGCTGCATCAGCGCATGCTCCCCAACCTGACCTGAACTGATCTGGTGCAAGACCACCTGGCATCCAGGACTCATGAACATCACTATGGCTATACCACCTGTCAACATCAGGCACACCTTCACACATTATACCTGAACACAGGCAAACCTTAAGACTAATATTATTAAACAATGCTTCCACCTAGTGGCACTACCCATATATTACACCCAAGTTTCCCCCTTTCTTAGCATACACTAAAGCATCTATTTATAACCAAGGAGTGTTGAATTACTACTGATTATGGCCAGCAAAGCTCAAGTGCAGAAAGTGTCATTCGAGAGGTAATTTAATTTGCATATGACAACCAGTCTGAGAAAAAAAACGATGGTAGGTAAAGTTCTGATGAAGACAATGAGCTTACTGGAAAAATTTGAAGGCCTTTACTGTGTACCCAGTGCCAGCAAAGAGGTCTTTTAGAATGTCATCCGTCACTGAGGGCCTGTAGACAGAAAGCAGAGAGCCACTGTAAATCTCATCTTTGTTTAAGGGCAACCAGGGGTCACCCGTCGCCAAAAGAACACAGGAAGAATGTGCAAAAGGCACAAACGCCTAGCTCGAGTTATGCAGATGTTTCTACAACCTTCAGCAACAATGATTTGGGCAGAATGACTTATGAATGAAGACTTGAGGCAGTCATGTACTGTTGTGATTTTAGCAAATCAAACATCAGATGTAGAACTTAACTGTGTAAAAATATACATTTTAAAGGAATATGTACACTACAAAGCTTAGAGAACACAGCAAACTGGATGCTATGCATATTTTACCGAATGTCTGAAGAAATCAGGAGACTCACGGGATATTGGAAAGGTGAAGAGTCGCAGAAGGAGGGAAAATATTCTGGAAGTTCTTGGAGCCAGGCTTCTTGAAGCGATGCAATGGGCTGCTGCTGAAATCCTTAGTCAGCCCTTGGTCCTCCTGACCTTCCCTGGGCAGCTGGACAGTCTGGTGCTTGGAGATTGTCACGCGGATGACCTTACCATGAAGCCTCTGCCCATTTAAGTGGCTCATTGCTGTGAAAAAGACAACAATAACACAATAACAAATGACTGCCTCAGGTACGTCCAAGGTCTTACATACAAAAAGCAAACTATGCTGAGCAATGAGAAGGTTTCCTTACCAAGCTGTGCCTGTGTGGCATCGGCCATCTGTATCAGGGCATTTTCTTTCTTGTTGAAGAGAATTTTTACTCTCTGCACATCCCCATAGACCCCTGGGGACCAGAAAAGGGAGCAGGGTCAGTATGACAGGGATATTCAGAGGGGTAAACATACATCAAGAGATATACAGAGGAGAGGGAAATTCAGAGGGTAAACCTGCATCAAAAGATAAACAGAGGAGAGGGAAATCAAGAGGGATAAATGTACATCGACAGATAGACAGAGGAGAGGGAAATCAAGAGGGACAAATGTACATCGACAGATAGACAGAGGAGAGGGAAATCAAGAGGGGTAAACGTACACCTTAGAGACAGAAAAAAGACTGGGATTTTTAGTGGGGTAAATGTACATCAACAGATAGGTGGGAGAGGGAAATCAAGAGGGGTAAATGTACATCAACAGATAGACAGGGGAGAGGGAAATCAAGAGGGGTAAATGTACATCAACAGATAGACAGGGGAGAGGGAAATCAAGAGGGGTAAATGTACATCAACAGATAGACAGGGGAGAGGGAAATCAAGAAGGGTAAATGTACATTAACAGATACCCCAGAGGGGTACCATTAATTGTTGAAAACACATCCGTTTTGAAAGATGAAAGGTTTCCTTACCAAACAAGATGAAGAGTCCATGTGGTGATATACTCTATATGAGACATGAAGATAAACTTTGCGTTAGTGCCCACAAGCAGGAAGGTTCACCATGGCATAGATCGACTAAAGACCATTTCCACAGACTTACATCGGGATTGAGATTGGACACCAGGAGGACCGAGTGCATAGCAGTGGGGGCTATCCCATGGAGTGCCATCCTCCCCGTCACTGCTGATGTCGGGATGGCCAAAGGCCCGAGACTGCCGGGCATTGACTGCATGGACAGTCCTGGGCAGACGGGAAGAGCTGTAAGAGGTCAAGAGATATACCAGCCATACAGACACGCATCCAAACAACATCTCAGTGATGTTGTGCAGTATTCAAATTCAGTCAAAGAAAAAATCAAACATTACACCAAAACCAATCCATACCCTTCACAACCTGTAGGTGGCGCTGCTTTCCTCAAATCAAGCTTGTATTTAGGGGTTATTTACCATATTCAGGTTGGTTGTTAATCACTGATTTATATAAATGAAACTAAAAAAATTATTATTCTGATTTTCACGGCAAACAGAATATTTTACTAAAAGAACCAAACACATCATCTTAAAAAAAAAAACAGACATGATTTGAAAATTATATATGCCTACACTGTTAATTCATAACATTAAAACTGACTGCATTACTCCAGAGACATGTCTTAATTCTTTTAGTGTTTAATTTGGTTAAATTAGCAGCTCAAGCTAATCGGAAAGGGTTCTGAAAGGCCAAGGTGGGAACTGAACTTCCTTTCTTTTGCCATCTCACACTAACATATGACACACACCCACACACAGACACCCCGGGACAGGAAAGGAGGATTATCGATGTCAGCAACGGTCATGTGGGATCTGACACACCTGCTCCCTGGGTGAAGCCAATACTGGGAGCGAATCCCGGACCTCCGGTGTAGGGAGAGGAGATGATACCAGGAGCCCCTACAAAAGAGAGACATCCGGGGGAGACTGAGCAGCCGGGTCAGTGTAAAGGGTGGGGGGGGTGGGGGGTCTAAGGAGCACAGAACAGTCACCCTGAGGGAGCGAAGCCCGTGTCAATAGGTCACACACACGTATGATGCCTTCATGAGTATATGCCAGTGCATGCAGTACTAACAGGTGAACAGTAGGGGGTGAAGGGCACCGTGTACAGGGCAAATTATGCTGCATAAAATGGGGGCGGTGTGCGAATCCGTGGGTTACTATTCCATGCCTGAGATCCCGGTTGCTGGTTCAAATCCCGTGGCTGACAACTTCACCATTAGGTGAAGATGGGAAGCCATGTGGAAAACAGAACATCTCGCATGACCATCTTCAGCCACGGTAAATGTCCTTCATGAGGAAATCACCTGTATTTGACTGTGAGAGCCTCCTTACCAGAGCCAACATCCCTCAGGGTGACTTCAGAATGTTTGTTTTATTAGGAATGATAAGTTACGATCATTCACTCAAAACTTCATAAAAGATAACAGGTATAAAACGACCATAGCAATGCTGATACAATTATAGCCACTTAAAAAGCTTCACAGCCCAATGTTAACAGGTCTCCCTATTTACAATTGCAGGGACTTCCACTTCAAGAAGTCAAATTCAAAGCACACACTCTGCAGGGATGTAAAGATGCATTGTGATAAATTTGTTATTAAAGTGGCATCAATGTGTAGCATCAGAATCGGTTATAAAATCGTTATTTGGGGGAAAAATCACTCTCCTAGTTTGCTCTCGCACTCAGGTGCTGCAGGTAGACACACAAAGGAGCAGCACCAGCACGCAAATTTCCGAAACGTAGGAATGAAGAGGAAAGCTCATTTATGTTTATAAAGGAAGCTCTACCTAATGATCTTTGCGTTACGACACGTTTGGGAACTCGGAGCGTTTTGTGTTATAAAACAGGAGCATCTAATTGTTAAGATAATCTTTGCGCTACGATGCTTTTGGGAAACACCCCTGCTTCATAGCGCTAAAAAACGTCAAGACTCTGAGGCTAACTAGTTAACTAGTAAAAAGTATTGTTAGCCTTATAAATGCACAATATACTAAGTAATGTAACAGCAACGGTCCGATGTCAGCCTTGGCCAAGCCAAAGACACGACCACTAAAATAACGGAAATTACTTAATTGGACTGTCAGCCATTTTCCTTAGTAAAAAACAAGGAATTTCATTGACTCATTCACCATTAATAACAGGACTCAAAGTACCAACCCGTGACATGTTTTTAGTTTATTATTAAATCTTGCCTACAGCTCGATTTTTCATTTTCCACAGTATAAAAGCAATGTAACGCCATCCTGTTAATCTGCATCGGCAAGATTCACAACCGGCAAATTTCCAAATCGGTGCACCGCTTGTTCACCTAGGTGAAAGCTGCCAATCAAGCAACACTTACTTTATGCATTTGCGTACAGTTCAGTGGCTGCCATTTTCGACAGTTTACATTGGCTTGTTCTCCCTGTTTACGTACAACAATAAAAACTAATGTGCTGAAGTTCTATTCCATGAATATCATGTGACATTCCCATGGTCATATTTGTGAAGTTAAAAATTTGAGTAATCAATATCATCGGATAGTCAAATCAAATCGTGGTAAAAATGAAAGATTTCTGATGCATGGAATCAGTCCTACAAAAACTGCAATCAATTTGAATCATGTTTGGCCCGATTTACAATTTACACCCCTAATCCTTGCTCTGCTGAGTTATCAGTAAAAGGTGCTATGAATGCAAAGTGAATGTGAACATGGCAGGGGGGAGAGGGACTTACCAACAACCCAGCTGCCGGTGATCTCTCCCCTTCTGAGCACATCGGCCAGGGTAAAATGATCGTGACAAGAACCTAGGCATATATACATATACAAGGCATCTTTTCAAAATGCAGAAGCACACAGGCAGACAGTCATTTGTCTTATAAAGTGGTGGTTTGCTTGGTGACCCTGTACTGGATGGTGATTGGCTGGAAAATGGATGAATGGATACATAGTTTCATTGTTTCCTTTTTTTTCGAAGACCAATCCTTCTCATCTTACTGGAACTTGTAATTTCTCTATGAAAGATTATTTTTCTGGGACAGTCCAAAGCAGGACCACCGGACGTGCAGGCCGATTTCCACCTGGCTTTTCAAGGCAGCATTTTAGACTATTGCATGTTGCACAGGAACAGGTCACAGAAAAGAGAAATGGAAACCCACTTATGGTTCTCCCTGCAGCCCTCTTTTTTCAGAGACATCTTTGGCTTGATGACAGTTTGACGCACGCCAGGTTTAGAAAACTCCTTCACTGAGTTTCTGACATCAAGGAAGCATTTCTCAGTGTTTCTATGCTATTGGATGACAATCCATTGCAGAATCCCATCTGGGAACGCGTCTCAAAGGTCAGCCGGAAACTTTGCAAACTGATTTATAGTCCCCTATACTATTCTTGGACAAATAAACAAAAACAGTTGAAACCCAAGTATACAGATATTTATATGTATTTAAATGGGTTTTCTCAACAGAAATTTCACATTCACCATGCTGAAGATTTTGCTGGTGAAAAATTATCATGGGCTTAACATAGCAGGAAAAAGTGTGGTTAGGATTTTCAGGCATTACTGCAGAAGCCTGAACCATGGGGCTCAATAAAGGCTTAAATAATGTCTGATAACATCCGTGCTCACTTTGTCCAAACATCTCCGTCCCTTCCCAGGATACTCACAGGCCATTCCCAGCCTCTTCCCAAACTTCTCCCAGCCACTTCCCAAGCCCAGACTTCGAAATAGCTCCGGACAGTGTCTAAATCACGAGGGCTTACCAAAAGGGGTTGTCATGGCAGCCTCCAGCGTGGGCTGGCCGTCACCAGATGGGAGGTCCAGACGTGTGAAATCCCGGCTCTTGTCATTATTGTACTTGACGTTCAAACTGGTCAGCTTGGAGAACTCCACACGCAAGGTGCAGCAGGCGTTGTAGATGTTCTGACCATCCAGTGTCTGAGAGAGACATGTTCACGTTAAAAGCTTTTCTCTCTGTGGCTCCTTGTTACACAGCTCGAACAACAGATCTGTGGACTTTCTGCCGCTACAGGTTAGCCTGCCTGCCGGCTTTAGGGGGCATCGCTGAGCCCACCATGCTGCACTAACATGGATGGGGCGGGGGCTGGTACTCACCACTTTGGCATGCTGAGCATTCACAGAGTCTGAGTACTGGAGCAAAGCCTGGAACTGGTTATTCTTGGTAAAGGTGATGATCTTCAGGACGGTCCCAAACTTGGAGAATATCTGTGCAAAAATACATGCAAGACATGAAGAGTCCTTTATTCCACCAAACAGCAAATCAAGCGACGTGATTTTTATTTTTGCCAAGAAGGAGAGCTTACTCTCGGACATCTCTGGTCATTACTAAAAAACTACAAGCAATGTTTTGGAAGATGTGGCTTCTAACAGAAAGTGAAACTATACATCCATTGAATCTGCTAGAGAAAGACCTGTCAAATAACTCATTCTCCAACAAGCCACTGGTACCCATTTAAAAACAGCCAGATTCCTCCCGAAACCCAAACCTGTGTCTGATATGCAACCTATATTGACAGAGCTTCTCAAAAAGGACAGAGGGAGAGGGACTGACCTGGTGGAGCACCTCCAGCGAGACAGGGTAGAAGAGGTTTTCCACGATGATGCGCAGCACGGGACTCTGGCCGGGCAGGAGAGCGCCCTCACTGGCCGACGCAGAGCTGGTCAGGGTCATGTTCCCAGAATGCAGCGTGTTCACTGCCTGCAGGGCTGCCTGGGCTCTCTGTGATGTCCACAAAGGAAACATGTCCTAACACACCAATTCTAGCAGCAAAATCTTCCCTGTTGCTAATCTATGGTGCATCTTTGAGGTTACTGGTGTTAATGTGTGATTGCTCAGGCACTCGGGTTAGCTAGGAGAATGTGAAATACCTAACAATCAACAGCACAACAATAAGGAAAAAAGTATAGAAAATCATTCATTAAATAAACACAAACTCAAGGGAGGGTTTTCCTTGAGGCGGGAAGGGTCACCCACCCCCTGATTGGGCAGGTTGTCAGTCTTCAGCTCCCGGTGGTTGGAATACTGGATAAAAACAGGCTGATTGCGGATGTGTGGGGTGGCAGACGTGTAGTAGTTCACCATTGTGATTGCTGCTTCTTCTGAAGCCATTTCTATGAAGGCCTGGGGGGGGGGACAGGACAGTGTGAAAAGCAGTCAGGAAGGTCTGAGCTACACAGCATATGCAGTCAGAGATCTTTGAAAAGAATCAACATTAAATATCATCTATGTATACAATATATGGTATTCATATACACCTCAGATCTCTATATGAGCTGACACTGCAGCTAGCTCTGTCTGCTCCTTTCCGTTGAGACCGCTGATCCCCTCAAACCTTCCAGCAGTCCCCATCAGCTAACACTTAACATGTGAGGATTAGAGTGAGGGTTGCAAAGGGGTGGGAAATTTCCAGAAACTTCCCATTCCGTGGGAAGTTAACCCGGGGAATTTTTGAAATATTGAAATTTGGAAAATTTCCATGATAATGAATGGGAATGTATGAGAATTTAGCAACCCTATAGCCCGTGATGCTGCCATTTGGCTGGGAACAGTATGCAAAAAAAATACAAGACAGTAATGGATCACAAGAGACAAGAGAGTACATTAAATAAATCCTTCTTGCAGTAGCTTAAAGACCTACTCCCCTTGTGAAAGGGCTTCCTCGCTATTATCCAGTATGCTAATGAGAAACGAAGCAAATGACCCATGTTGATGTGGCTTTTATTCTCTCCACCTACTTGGTTTTTCCCTTTAAGCATCAACAGGTTAGTGACTTTGCCAAAGGGAATTCCGAGGGAGATTATCTCTGCTTCGGAGACCTCAGTGGGAATCTTCCGCACGTGGAGCACACGGGAGGGGCCACACGGAGACCTGTCTCCTTTGAACTTCTTGCTGTCGTTGCCATTAGCTGCAGGACGAGAATGTCGCACAGAAGCCATTATTCACAGGAAAACCACTCAGTGAACGATCAGTCTGCAGCATGTGGTACAAATTCTCTCTTTCTTTCCCCCCCAAAAAGTCTCATCAGGTTTTTCCAAACTGCGTTGCCAGCAACGGACTCCGGAAAGCCTTCACTAAAAGCCCCACACTTTATTAATTTTTATCAACACTTTTTTATTCACACCAAAGTCTAATCGCATTGACATATGTGCTTTGGTTTCAAGTATTTTTACATCGTGTTCCATCCTACACTCACGCTGAAGCCACGTTCTCCACACATGATATTTATCCTCAGTATCAGCTCTAAGTGGGGTTCTTTTCAAACACGTACATGCTCACTGTGCACAGGAACGCCACAGCAGAAGTGCAGCATTTCACTGTTGACTGACAGGCGGTTGCCACCCTGCCTGATTCTGCACTCTAGTCAAGCCTCATTTCTTCCCAAGATCCCCTACTCTCTCAGCGTCTGTCAACCTCCAGAAAAGCTGCTTAGACATTCAAGGAGAAGAGCGATACCTGTAGATGGAGTAGAACTGCTCATGGTAGATGGCGGTATGTGAAACCAGAAGAAAGAAACTCCTCAGATCCCCACTGGAAGACAAAGACAAAGGTTAGTTAGCAGGCATTCCCACATGAGTGTGCCATCTACTGCTGAAATCACTGATCCAACAATGACGTTAATTACAGTCAAACTAAAAGCATTTTATACAACCATTTTGGTTTAGATGACAAAAACACCTTCCTGCAATCAAATGCAGGACATTTCTATTATACATCAGTGTAAAGATACTGGATCAGAGAGGCTTTTAAATTATAGGCCTCACTTCATTTTTAATTTGACATCAAAGCTCACTGAAGTTAGCTGAAGCAGCACAACGCCAGTCATGCAGGTATAGGGTCACGTGACAATCAAGTTTGGTCAAGTGATCCAAAGAAAGAAACACATAGAAAGTCCAACAATGTATACCAGGTTTTCACCAAGATATTGTCAATAGCATCCAGATCAGTTCCAAGATCTGTGTGGTGATATATCACAGCAACCGGGTCGGTAAAAAGATCTATTGTGGTGATACATCACGTCAACTGGTTTGGTACCAAGGTTTGTTTGGTATTACATCACAGCAACTGGGTCAGAACCAGGATGCTGTCAAAATTAATGAGTCAGAACCACGATTCATGCAGGGAAACATCACAGCAACTGGGTCAGTAGCAAGGTTTGTTTGGTGATACGTCACTGCAACCAGGTCCAAACAAAGAATGAATCAGAACCATGATCCAGGTAATGAAACATCACAGCCATCTGGTAGGTACCATGACCCATGTGGTTGAAGACCACAGCAACAGAGTTGGTACCAAGATAGTTTCACAGTAATCGGGTCAATATCAAGATCTGTGTGGTGTTACATCACAGTGACCAGGTCAGTACCAAGATACTGTCACAGCAACCAGGTTGGAATCAAGAACCTGTCACAGCGACCGGGTCGGTACCACAATCCATGTGGTTTTACATCACAGCAAATGAGCTGGTACCAAAATACTGATCACAAGGACCGGACTGATGTCAAGACATGAGTAAGTTACATCACAGCGACTGGGTCCCTACCAAGGTACTGCCACAGCAAACAGGTCAGTACCGAGATCTGTGTGGTGATACATCACAGCAACTGGGCCGGTACCAAGATACCGTAACAGCGACCAGGTCGGTACTGTGATCACAGCACTAAGACACTGAGACAATGACTGTAAAACGGGGTCATCGCACTCAGTTTATGACAGCGTAAGACGCACGCACGCACCCAGCGGCCATTCAGGGACACACGGGCCTGCACGGAGCCCCCTCAGCTCATTAAAGTGCTTCTACGGGCACATTACACACCTAAGGAACACACACACCACGTCTGACTCCCGGCACTCAAAAAACAAAACCAGCCAAGCCGCTTTACATCCTCCACCATCCGTCTTACAAAAGCTTTACTCCCTGACACAGCAGAATACGAACCCCATCTTTGACACAAGCTTCTTTTGCTTTCAGAGTAAGATTGTTTTATTCCTGCATCAGACGCCCTTGAATACTCTTATCGGAAGAAATGCGGAAAGAAAAGAACAGGCCAGCGCCATTCCTAAAATGCCAAGATTGTTTTTGCCACGTTACAACAAACTGGTCAGAAGATAACAAGCCATCAAACTAATGAAGTTTCAAAGTGTAAAACAAGAAGCGAATCCATCTCGACACAAGAAAAACGGGAAAGTATCACGGAGAAGTCAGGACTGTACCTGAAACGCATGTCAGTCTAGTCCGCTGTGAAGGGAAGAGGGGGAGCACTCAGGGTGAGGGGAGGTCCATTCGGGCCTTGAGGAGGTTTGAGAGACAGAGAACGAGAGAGAGAGAGAGAGAGAGAGACAGAGACAGAGAGAGAGAGGAGGTAGAGAGACAGTGGGGTGTGCAGAGAGGGAGAGACTGTCACGGGCAGATACACGGCTTCAGCTGTACCGTGCAATGAAGCTGAAGCAGTAACAGCACACGGCCGCATCACGGAAACCAGCAGGGACACAGGTTCGACGGCTCGATAGGCGGTCTCCCCAGAAACCGGGGCAGTTTGGCCTACGAGGGGGGCAGCTGTCCTGTTAGCCTGTACGATGCCTAAGCGGGACTGAATGGCAGACATGCACAAACTCCATTGTGTACAGCATCTATTATTAAGCACGGTCTCCTTCGTCAGTAACAGGATACAAGCTGACAAATAAAGGAGGGAAGGCGGGGAAAAACCTGCTGGGCTCACTTTACAGAGGTCCGGTGGGTCAGCGAAGACGGTGTCGGGGCCTGTGGCAAGCTGGGAGTGCGAGGGGGTCACAGTGTGTCCGAAACAAGGGTCAGCTACTGAACAGTGATGTTAAACTGATTTTGCCTGATCCTAACAGGCCTAATAACCACAGTACTCCATCCATCTATCATAAGCACCAGTGATCCAGAACAGAGTTGCCATGAGCGACCACTATAGAAGCAGGAACGAGCTGCGGTGAGCAGCCCTACAGAACAGTGCTCACGCACTTCACAGAAGACCAGGCCCAGGGCGAGGATGACAGTCATCACAAAGTTTAGAGGTCTTCAGGCCTTCTGGGTAGCCAGACTGAAACGCCACAGGGTGCCTGCAGATTCACGTGCCCTAGAATCACCTGAAGCGAGCGTGACACCACAAGCCATCAGACATTCCCGATTTTGTGCTTTTCTAACTAGTGAGGTGTGAAGCCGAGACAGACTGTTCAGGCACATCTACAGGAAAACGATACAGGTACACAGGGCCTGTTCTGAGGACCCGACTCGCAGGGCTTGTCTTTTATACCGCCTGCCTAGCAAACACAATGACTGTAGGAAACAGGAACTGGAACCTCAGGTTACTAAGGCAGAGTGAAGGCCGGTGTACATTTCCCGTTAATATTCTAAGTGTGTAACAAAGAGGAGTGCAGTGGACACGGAGCCAGCTGACATTCTGAGCCTGTGGATACGACACATGATCCAGCGGCAGATTTTTTACCAAGGTAACATTATCTAAAAAAAATTACAAACGACCCCACCTTCCTTACATGCCATGATTTGGGTTATTATGAGCAGGCACCGTCAAAGACAGCTAATGACAGGAAGAAGCCCAGGCACAACGTGGTAAAAGGTAAGGTCCACTTTGCTCAGGATCCAGTGCATCGCTGCTGTTGTATAAAACGCTTAAAGCACTGTCCTTACACGGAGGTTCAGCTGCATAAGCCAGCAGTCAAAGCAAAGCCTGCTGTAGAGTCAATGTTTATTATAAGATATCAATATTATCTTTTATTGTGAGTGTCTTTCATAGATGGCACTTTAATCCCCCACTAATGTGATCCACCATGGAAGAAACACCAGCTAATTTTATTTCACCACAATGAACGTCACAATAAACGACACTGTTCAAAATGCTAGACACGTCTAACTTGATTAGCTTGATACGTTTTGCATTGCTTTAGCTTGCTACTACTCGATGCAACTGTCGTTCATCAGCATTTAGCGCTTGTGTGTTTTGTTTATCCGAAACTTGCACTATTTCAAAACTTAGAATCGTCAAACCTTGAAGGCCACAGGCTCTCGTCACTTATTACAGGGAGTCTGCATGATAGTCACTGGCGTAGAAGAGAGTTTCAAATGGGGTGGGGGGGGAGACACATAATTTAATCATTTAAATGTAAAATTCTATTATTTTGTTGGGACAATAAACCCAAAGTAAATATCCCCATCTTCCTATGCCCTTGATCACAGTGACAGTCTGACACTGGTTGCATTTCCATGTCTCTTTTTCTCCACTCTTACCATGATTATAAAACACAATAATACCACTGAGGTAATGAATAATGAAACACAATCCCAATTCAGAAAAATATCCAGTAACTGTGCACCTAATGCAAGCCTTCGCCCCCCCCGAACAGTTACTGAAATCAGGCTGCCAGAATTAATGGCTGTTCATTCCAAGAGGAATATTTTCAATTGTAGACTATTAAAAAATACCAAGAGCTCAACAATCATTACCCATCGTATCTCTCACATCAACTAGAGCTAATGCAGCGATACTGTGAAGTGATTACAAAGCACAACGCCAAAATCCAACAACCAAAAATTGTGCAAATCACAAGAAAAACCTAATCATGCTAACCGAAGTCAGGTGAAAAAAGCCCTCAAAATGATCGCTGGTCACCATATCATTTACAATAACAACCTCATTTCCAAATTTTGTTCTTCATGAGCTGTGGGTGTCTGACGAATTTCAGATGAGGAGGCTGCACACTGCCACCTACTGTACGGGGAGTCGTACTACCGCAGTACTCCATTACATGGAAAGACCGACACTAACAAAATACAGTGACAAAGAAACTAAACAGAGTTGGTACATGGTTAGTGCTCAACCGCTGACACAGAACTGCATGAGCCTAAGAGCCTGTCACTTTTTAACAGCTGTGTAAGCGTACAGCTTATCTTCTCCAGTATATACTTACAGGTGGGCCTCCTACTGAATTTAGGAGGGTGATGCCCAATTTGACAATACAGGCAACTGCAACATCCTTCCCAGAAACCGAGCATTTCTAGCTTAGAAAATAAGCATCATTTTAATTTTAATGTGTTCCTGGGTAAGTGTGGCACATAGAATTCCTATTGTTGAGTAGAAGAAGATTGCAAATACAGTGGAACCTCGGATTACGAGTAACGCGGTTTACGAGTGTTCCGCAATTTTAATAAATTTTGACTTGGAAACCGAGCAAGTCCTGGTTTACAAGCGCCAAGTATCATCAAAAATCATATGGTACACATGCGCTCCTTGTTTTTCTTGTTTTTACGTGCGCTCCGCTTCAAAACAGGAAGCGCATGCGTGTGCTTCTTGTTTTGACGCCGAGCGCACGTCATCACAACTGAACCAATGGTTATTCACTTTCTCACGCTGTGGAATTGTGGGTAATCGTCTCCTATGCTTGGTCTCAGTCGGCATGCCACACTCGTATAGTCAAAATTTAGTAGAAAAGCACCATCTGAATAAGGGCGTAGCAGTGCGAGCGATGAATCTGTTTAACAACAATGC